GAAGGCCCATCGATGGTCTCAATTTATTAATGAAGATTTTGATCTCAGCACATGGCCACGATTAACAAAATTTATGCAGGATTTCAAAATACAGTATCCCCGAGAAGTTTGGTTACAGAATATCCGTGAAATATTAGATACTACAAATAAAAATATCAAAACCAACTTACGGATATTCGAACCTGACAGGAATGATTACATGGATTACATGATGGATCGTTTTCTCGTAATTTGGCAAGCAGGGGAAAATGATGAGTTTATTACAACTAGTAACGGATTTGGAATCTACGACGGTGTGAATGGACTCTTACCATTTTCTAAGGGTCATTATGCCTACCGATATTATTACGTTATTTCTCCAAAGCTAGTGTTGGTACTTTGCACTACTCTTTTACGAGAAGAACTTAGAAAATATGTTAAAATGAATTTTTTTAAAGATGTTCCTCATCCAGGAATACCGAAATGTGTTAAAATAAATGACGAATATAATCACAACAATAATAGAGATCCACCTACATTCATTGATGCATTTCTAAGCTCCATAGGTTTAAAAATAGAAAAGTGACAAACTTACTTATCCTTTAGTCAAAGTTGATTCAGCCACTGTTCATTTAGTGAATACTATCATACTTAATGAGACTAAACCGGATGAGGTTTTATCCTTCCTTTCCCATTCGAATCTATATAAGACAATTGTCAAATATTATAAAAGCAAGGAAATAAAGGAAGATCACACAAACTTAAAAAAGAACCTATTCATTGCTTTAAACAGAACTCACCAAGAAAACATAAGTCTTCGGAAAAATCATTCAACTAACTACATATGTAATTGGAAAGAATGTAAGATAGTTCAGAATTTCGTTCCTGAGAAGCAAGACCAACTACGAAATAATCTCACCGGGATAGTTCAGAATCCTGACCCTGAAGAACAAAACCAACTACGAGATAATCTCACCAAGATAGATCAAAATTTAGACACTAATGAGCAAGACCAGCTACGA